CGGGCTAGAAAGAGTATCTACTATTGATAACAAAATAGACAGAAGTAGTGTTCAATCGTCTGGGGATAAAATATTGAGGAATAGGAAAGGAATATATGAGGTTCAATTCGTTGTTAGTTCAACAGAGTTCCAATTGATGGAAAACAAAAATTAAAACCCATAGACTTACCCGACATTCAAGTCATGCTCATGATCGTCAAGCCAGACTCGAACTTGGAACGCGTTGCCCTCACGGACCCAACCGAATACGTCCTCCATGATGATGGGCACATTTGGTTTGTGCTCATGATAATGTGATGAGAGAGCCATTGTCGGTGCTCGATAGACGCCTTCACGGCGTCTTCAACGGATCTTCGCCTTCTCTGAAAACCATCATGCAGGTGATGGACTACTGAGGAAGAGATCTAATATGACGACACGGAAAAGGCTCTATCAGAGTAAACACTGCAGTTCACTCCAAAACATATCTTCAAGATTATCCTCCCAAAACTCAGAACGGAACAGTCATATCATGTTAAATAGCCGTTGAAGAAGATAGCTCTACCCTTTTACGTACGATTTTTTTACCACATAAACAATCATTCCCTCTGTACACAAAATTGACCCTGGAATCGGCGACTGAACAGGAAGGCGACTTTTATTTCGTGACGGGAAACATCAAATACTATAGTAAAACAAATAGAAAAATGCTGACATACAAAACATGAAAACAACTGAAGAACCGCCGTACAAGCCCAGGGGTTTCGTGGGCTTGAACTGACAGTAGCATTGAAGAGCGAAGCCGATAGTGCTGTTGGCAATGAATAACGGCCTTTATGAGGCAGCAGCTGTTGCAATGAAATCGATATGACTAATCGATCGCTAGCGACTACGATGGAAAGACGACATTTGAAAATTTTGTGGCTACAAGGTAATTAAACTTATTTCGCCTAAATCCGCTTAAATCATACGATAAAACTCAAAATTGAAAAATGTTCTAGCAGAAAAATGTCACATTTTAGCATCGCCACTATCGATTTATTCTAGAGCTGTAGGTGATCGATTTTAAAACAATGTAGCTTGGAGCATCCATAAATGGTCTGATGATGATTTGGACCAGTTCCAAATTCCGAAAAAAGCGCAAAAGAAAAAAAAAGAAAACAGGAATCTTTCAAGAGATAAAGGTCCTAGAAGAGTGGCCCTGAAACAGCCCCATAACCCAAATAACGACTTGATAGGCATTATCTGAACTTCTATGCAGTAATCAGTAGTGAGATAAGATGCATATTGATCGATCGAGCATATTTACACACGGCTAGCGGGAACAAGACGGACAGACGGAACAGCAGCGGGGCATGTTGTGCGGGGGCTGAGGTGGAAGAGGTCGATGGGCATACGACGACGAAAAGGGTCGGGCGCCCCGACAGATTATGAGGTCACCCAGTAATGGCATGCTGGTATGTATCCGACAACC